TCAGTAAATCCGCGCTTTTACAATTGAGGAATCTCGCCCCAATGCAACGGCGACGCTGCTGGAATCTCAGAGGAATTTTCCACTGTCCCCGAACATGATGCAGCCGGGAGAATTGTCAGACGTCAAGTTAAAATTAGCTTGCGTGCCGACCGTGAAGCCTGCTAGGCACGGGAGACTAAAGAGAAGGAAGAGGCGCAGAGTGCCCAAAGATTAGCTCGGTTGATCCGTGTGATCGGCCCTCGGTAGCTGCCAATGAGCAAAACCATCTAGGATCAAAGTGGAAAGGACATCTTCAATAGCGGACGCCTCGACCACTGGACCAGTCTCTCTGAACAGCGCTTCCCATGGCCACCTGCTGTCACTCAGTTAAATCCTAGAACTGCACTGAAACCCTAAGCGGCTAACTTGGAACCTTCTACAACCTCGGAAGTTTACGATTGCATATTTTCTCTGAGGCGCCACCGAGCTCCTGGTCCGGTTGACCTCCTACCCACACAGTTCAAAGATGGAGGTGAAGTCCTCAGTCAGCGTTTGTCTGATCTCTTTTCTTGCATTTTGAAAGTCGGTACTAGTGCCCATTTTCAAAAAAAGGTCTCAAATTGAGTGTGGTAGCCGCAGGGGGCCAGCTGTAACGAGACTTTGCATCATTTGTCCTTATGTTGGCCCATATACCACTGACTCGAGAGCAGAAAGTGGGATCTCGGCCTTTTACGGGTTGCGTTGATCAAATCTCCGCACATCGCTAGGTGCCAGATACTCCTGGGTTTCGAATCAGTTAACCAGTCTTCTCTCCTTGACACGCTTTCTCAGCAAGGAATGTCCCGGGGGGTTGTGAATGTAATAAGTTCTTTATATTATCAGACTTTCGGGCGTGTGAGAGCATACGGAGAGCTCTCCGAAAATGCCGTCCGTCGAGGTTACCCACTCTAGCCATTCACATTTAGTTTCGTGATCGATGAAATAATGAGACAAAGCTGGGACGTCTTTAAAACCATTGTATTCAAATAGCCTCTGGCGAAAACCTTGTCGATCCGGAATATGCAGATGATATCGTTTTTGTCTTCGAAGAGAAGGCACGTGTGTTTTCGGATGAACTGACCAAAGTCATCCCATCCTTTGGCATTCACTTCGCACCCACAAAGTGTAAGATCATGCTCGTGAATTTGCGGTCACTGAAAATGCCACTTAGAATCAAGGGAGAGACACTCAAAGTTGTGGACCGTTTCGCGTATCTTGTGAGTTGTATTAGTTCCGACTGTAAAGCGTGACAGATGAGGTCAGTGCACGAGTCTGCAAGGGCGTCAAAGCAGCCTGTCTGTGCATCTCAAGGAACGTGTGTATCAGGCCACAGCTCGAGCGACTTTGTTCTACGGTTGTGAGATATGTCCTTTCGATTAGCGGAACTGGGGCATTTTCAGGTCTTCGACAACGGCTGTCTCAGAACTACTGATCGTACAGGCTGGCACTGGTACTGGTGTTACCTCAACCAGGCTATTTGGAAACGAGTGTTCAGTTGTACAACAGGCCATTCAGTCGAAGAATGTGTCCAGCGCCGGAATCTACGGTGGCTATGCCATGTATTGCGTATTCCGAATCATCGTCTGCGGAAGTGCTGTTTTCCATGTCCAATTCAGAAAGGCTGGACCTGGCTGATGGGGTTTGAAAGAGATTACGAAATGTCTGGACGCTATCGATGCGACTCGAATTCTAGGATTGGATCTACATGACCACCATTGTGCCCGGTTAAAGATGCTGCGAGATGTGGTTGCTTATCGATGTCAATGGCGTTCTTATTTTCAGTTTATCGGGATTACCTGATTGAGTGTCTGGGGTGTAGGCGCCTCTGAATAGTTGTTATTCGCACTAAGACCCCTGTCCACTTCTATTCTTTCCTTCACAATGGTTGTACGGCAGCGAAGTATCACTGTTGAACACTGGTGTTATGGTGTCGATGCTGATCATGATGCTTTCAGTGCATAGCTTCCTCTTCTGATCTTTTCAATAAAAAGTCCACCGAACTCCCTGCACTCACGCATAACTTATAGCATCTACGGTCTTCAACGCGTAGCTATCTACCCCTATCTCCCAAGGTCATTCGTGAACGAAACGATGGCGATTGTGGCCGCCGCACAACAAGCGCGCGGTTATTACAGCTGAATGTTATGGTGATGTCCTGAATTCTTGTTTCCGACAGACAGTATACGTCAATCCCGAGGCAATCCAGCGTACATAAAAGAGCAAGAGCCACTTGTGCTACTTGCTGTAGTGTGAGAACATTGAAGGTGGCTAGGTTGACCGGTTTTTGGGGTTTGAAAACTGTGTTCGATGCTTAGGGTTGCAGAAGTTGCAGTTGTGCGTGATGCAAGACTAATGAAGTGCTCAACCCCGATGCTTGGACCTTGTGAGAAAGTATTCACATTGCAGTGTAGTATAATAAAAGAAGGAATGCTTGAAAGTGTGAGGGAGAGATGCCAGCAGTAACGTATTTGCCTTCCCGCCCTGCTATATGCAGCAAGTAGGGCAACCCGGCTGCTGTCACTACGCGACCATCGGTTTGGTATGACATTGTTGTGGCTGTAGGAATCATTGTCGTAGGTGGGCTGTGATGGAGTCAAAGCGCTCAAACCTATACAGCAGGATGAGTAAGTTCTTTATCAAAGCCCTTGGCTCAAAAGTCTGACCGCTGACATACCAGTACGGTTGTAAATTTTTATGAAACAATTTACTGTGCGTCTTGCAACCCCTCAACCTGGCAGACCACGAGACTGTGTTCTTCGGACCTCCATCCACTGATCAACCCTATACGAGAGACTCTGTGAGTTTCAGAAGTGGCGCTCTCATCACCGCAGTATGGTTCATTGAGTCCTAGAAATATACAGATCCCACACCGCGGTAAGGTCCGGTCTATTTGCAGCGGTCCTTGTATTCGGTCTTGTGCCACCGTTGTCCGGCTTCCCAGTCCAGGGCTTCGGGTGAGTGCCCCAATCGTCCCCCAGTCTAGGTGTAAACGTCCTGGTAGTATCTCAGCCCACAAGACCAAGGAATGCAAGGTATATGCTTCCACCTGGTGACGTCAGCCAGGTGGTTCCACTCGCCGCATGCAGCAGGGCAGCTAAACGAAACCATACGCTACTGACGCGTCCTATCTTTTTTCATCGCCACATCAACTCCTTTCCTGTCCTCCTTTATGATATTTTTTGCATATCCCAGCTGCAGGTGCGTCATTCAAACACCTAAGGAAGTGACCAGTAGCGCATCACCATTTGCATCTACCATTTAGACTTCATTCTCGTGTTTTTATTGCCACCTCTCGCCCATCCTAGCTACTTTATCGACCACTTTCTGCCGCGTCTATGGAACTCAATTACAAGATGCGAGTACGGCAGTGAAGCATCGGTGTTGAACACTGATGTCATGCTGTCGATGATGATGATGATCATCATCATCATCATCTGAGTACAGTTTTTGAACTTTTTCCGGCTGACACTGACTGCTGTTGCAACGTTGGCATGCCCCTCAGTTTGTGAAGGAAGGTTGTCTCATTTGAGTGAATAACTATAAATGACCGGCTGTTTCGTCTGACTTCACTGGCACCCGCCGAAATACTTAACACTTTGTCCGTATTGTCCGCTCATAGACCAAGTAGCCGTAGCTCAGATTCATCGGAGGACACACCCATTCTTTCCTCTACCACAAACAGTCCATATATGATCGTATCAACAGGGTATTTAGTGGCACAAGTGAGGTGCTTTATTTCACTAATAGCACTTCTAGCACGTTTAATCTGATCGCAAAGCGTAATGACAACCGCTCATATTGCCTAATGATCAGTGATTTTAACAGTCTTTTCTTTGACGAAGATGCTATTCGCGTTAAGGCAGCCTGGCGTTTTCCTCAAAGCCTCTGGATATTACTTAAGGTGACTCGATAGTCATCTCAGTATATCAGCAGAAATCGAAAGATGATTTTATGTGATGTTAAGACATTCACGAGAGGTGTTCAAACGCCGGCACAATATTTGAAGCGGTGCACCCTTGATGCGTGTTGATTTAACATTGAGAAATCTTTAGGTTTCTATTAAGACGCCTCGAGGTCCCCCCTTGAGTTAACTAGTGGACTTTTATGCGTCACATAAAGGTGCTGGGTGGTCTTAACGTGGGGAACATTGTGTGTATGATCTGTGTATATCAGTGTTTGACCTACAAGATTGCCCCAGCACCATACAGCAGCACGAGGTCTGTATATTACAGACAATCGGGTTTGGAACAATTCACACATCTGGCTCAAATCGAAAGGATGATCACTCCGTGCTTATATTCAAGTAAAAAAAGGATTATCAACTGTCTGTGGAAAGCCATCTGGACGATGTTAGATAAACGGAATGTGTTTGACGTCAATGCTACATGTGACTATTTCGAAAACGTCTCAGACTTGTCACCCAGTTGACATTAGTCAGGCCATCAGTCAAACAGATGCGGAACTGTCAAATGCAACGAAATGGAGCTCTAAAACTTGCCGATAGTGGTTATCGACCATATGCACATCCGGTTCAATGTGTCGAAGGGTAGGAAACAGGAAAAGTTGAAACAAAACTGTTGAGTGGTTCTACTGCCACTGAAAGGGGTCAGGGTGAGTTGCTCATATAAGCGGTCTTGTTTCCCCCAATGGATATCACGCTTGACAAAAGTGCACCCAGGAATGCAGATCGGAGTGGGCATGTTTTGAAACGTCTAATATGGCTGAGCGACCTGTTGAGAGTATTCACTTCGCTCCTTGATAAAATAGTGACAAAACGTAGCAACCTTCCCAGACAGGTTGAAGACCTCTTTGAGCCCATAGTTAGATGCTGCGGAGCGCTTGTACAACTCGACCGCTGAGGTAGTTGCCTGGGGTTCTCACTTAGTGGATGAGATGAGGACTACCCAGCTGAGTCTGTATCAATCTGGTGTCTGTTGATTATTTGTAGCTTCGTTTCTGATCCTTAGCATCCTTCGTTTTTCAGATATTGTCAGGTGATTTCTGAACCGTCGGTATTTCATCTGTCCACCGTATCTCCCACGAGTATTCCATGGAAACCAAGGATGGTGCTCCATCGCCGAAGGCTGTCGATTGTACAGATCCCCCAGGTGCTCGAGACCTACTGAACACCTCTCCGGAACATTCTGTTGGACCCAGAGTCGCTATGGTACCCAGAGAGTCTGCGGATCGAGCCGAACATACGAATGACGAAAACAAACTGGATACCTATGAAATAGATGAATTAGAGATCCCCGATTGTGATAGTGAGGATATTGATTTGGAGCATTGTCGAATAAAATCAATTAATCATCTTCACCGATTCCCAAATGTACGCCACGTTTCCCCTCATATTTTTCTGTAGGTCAAGCGTCTTTGTCTGCGAAACAATCTCTTGAAAAAACTGGAAAACTTTGACCCGGTAGCTTCCAATCTAACTGAGTTGGACGTTTACGATAACCAGATCACAACCGTGAGTTTGTATCGACTTTTCTCGTCTACACTTTTGTCTTCCATAACGATCAAATTGCTTCCACAACTGGTTGGAACAGAGCTGGGGGCGAGATGGCCCAAGTGGTTAGAGCGCGAATTTACTAACGGAAGGTCCGCCGAAGGCTGTCGATTGTACAGATCCCCCAGGTGCTCGAGACCTACTGAACACCTCTCCGGAACATTCTGTTGGACCCAGAGTCGCTATGGTACCCAGAGAGTCTGCGGATCGAGCCGAACATACGAATGACGAAAACAAACTGGATACCTATGAAATAGATGAATTAGAGATCCCCGATTGTGATAGTGAGGATATTGATTTGGAGCATTGTCGAATAAAATCAATTAATCATCTTCACCGATTCCCAAATGTACGCCACGTTTCCCCTCATATTTTTCTGTAGGTCAAGCGTCTTTGTCTGCGAAACAATCTCTTGAAAAAACTGGAAAACTTTGACCCGGTAGCTTCCAATCTAACTGAGTTGGACGTTTACGATAACCAGATCACAACCGTGAGTTTGTATCGACTTTTCTCGTCTACACTTTTGTCTTCCATAACGATCAAATTGCTTCCACAACTGGTTGGAACAGAGCTGGGGGCGAGATGGCCCAAGTGGTTAGAGCGCGAATTTACTAACCGGAAGGTCCGTGGTTCAAACCCGAGCTCTGCCTCTCGACTTCCCCTGTCTAGGCTTGGGCGACCTGACAGTATCCCAGCCCTCGTGCCTCATTCGTGTGGCATGGCAGTTAGGCACCGAAATAGTGCTACGGCTGAACGATTTTTTTAATTTTGAACAGAGGTTGTAAAGAAGGCGAACGGGAAATACCGATTTTGTGTGGATCTTCGGCGTTTGAATGAACTGACCGTTGTAGATGTCCTTTCGGTTGCGGAGGTTTTCGATTCTCTCTAGTATTCCCGATGTTTCACGGTGTTTAACTAGATACTGGCAACTAGCAGCAATCTACGCCCCACTGATTTCATCGTCCCTCTTCCAATAACTGCCGTGTGTGGTGCTATCAAGTAACCTTAGTTGATCCTCTCAATATCCGAATAGCACTTAGTAGAGTTCGATGTCTAGCTTCCTATGCTGTAAACCTGAGGACGCCCCGTTGAACGCTTGCATTTCTCCCCATTGATTTGTTGTTCCTCTGTTCTTTTCCATGGACTCTGAGAAAATCTCCGTCCTGTTGTCGGATCACTAAAACCCATTTGTGGTGTAGTGTCATCCCAAGTAATATCTAGGCTGAATGCCTAGTAACGAAATATTCGGTGCTTGTTACAAAGTTGTGTACTGTAAACGGTAGTGCAACTTCTACGACGGTTCTTAGCTTCCTGCGGAATTAGATAACTAGTTGGTAAACAAGTCCGATCATTGCCAGTACTACCATTTCAAAGTATGGCAGTAGAATCGTCCATGTATTAACTATAAGTCAGAGCAGGCTTACCGTTGGAAGATGTTGGCTAGAAATGGGAGATCTAGACGATCCACAAGCACTTCCATGTTAGTTTACAGTAGGTGCGTTGTTCCATTCTTCTCAGGCGTGTGCACCCACAAGCTGCACAGATTTCGGTAACCGTTTTTGAGCCCTAAATTGTACGACATTTTCTGATGATGTACTTGCGCTCGAGCACAGAGATGCATTGTGTCTCAAAGCTCTTCAGGCCTGTATGAATAGGAGTCTGTCAGATCAATCTGTCAAGTTCCCAGATTCGTCCTCGGGTTTGGGCCGCATTCTTCAGTTGCTTCGAGATGTGATTATCGACCGGTTATTTTATGTAGCCGATCCAGCCTAGCTGGTTGTTCACCAAGGCATGCTCGATTTTGTTGACCTTGGTTGGTTTGAGAAATTCAGTGTTCCGGGTACGATGTTACCACCAAATCTGAATTATCTTCCGCAATGAAACCGGTCATACATTCTAATATTCCATCGGTATGATGTCCGTGTTTCACCACCGTTTAGTAATAAAGACAATCAACAAGTAACCCTTTGTCGTTTTCAAACTTGATAGTTCCGCAGTTGCGCATTGGGGTTCTCATTTCTGAGCGAAAAAATTTGACTGGCCTGAGAGTTTTGGGAGCAACCGAGCTCGTGCAAATTAGGTGGGAAGCCTCGTCTTCCGATATAGTCCACACACTTTGAACACCAGCAGGTGATCCGTCCGCCGCGATAATCCTTCCTTTGACGTGTCAGCTATCGCCTTCTGAAGATCAACCTTCGCCTGTGGATGGGAAAGGTTCATCTTTACAGGGTCCTTGTTACAAAGTTGTGTACTGTAAACGGTAGTGCAACTTCTACGACGGTTCTTAGCTTCCTGCGGAATTAGATAACTAGTTGGTAAACAAGTCCGATCATTGCCAGTACTACCATTTCAAAGTATGGCAGTAGAATCGTCCATGTATTAACTATAAGTCAGAGCAGGCTTACCGTTGGAAGATGTTGGCTAGAAATGGGAGATCTAGACGATCCACAAGCACTTCCATGTTGGTTTACAGTAGGTGCGTTGTTCCATTCTTCTCAGGCGTGTGCACCCACAAGCTGCACAGATTTCGGTAACCGTTTTTGAGCCCTAAATTGTACGACATTTTCTGATGATGTACTTGCGCTCGAGCACAGAGATGCATTGTGTCTCAAAGCTCTTCAGGTCTGTATGAATAGGAGTCTGTCAGATCAATCTGTCAAGTTCCCAGATTCGTCCTCGGGTTTGGGCCGCATTCTTCAGTTGCTTCGAGATGTGATTATCGACCGGTTATTTTATGTAGCCGATCCAGCCTAGCTGGTTGTTCACCAAGGCATGCTCGATTTTGTTGACCTTGGTTGGTTTGAGAAATTCAGTGTTCCGGGTACGATGTTACCACCAAATCTGAATTATCTTCCGCAATGAAACCGGTCATACATTCTAATATTCCATCGGTATGATGTCCGTGTTTCACCACCGTTTAGTAATAAAGACAATCAACAAGTAACCCTTTGTCGTTTTCAAACTTGATAGTTCCGCAGTTGCGCATTGGGGTTCTCATTTCTGAGCGAAAAAATTTGACTGGCCTGAGAGTTTTGGGAGCAACCGAGCTCGTGCAAATTAGGTGGGAAGCCTCGTCTTCCGATATAGTCCACACACTTTGAACACCAGCAGGTGATCCGTCCGCCGCGATAATCCTTCCTTTGACGTGTCAGCTATCGCCTTCTGAAGATCAACCTTCGCCTGTGGATGGGAAAGGTTCATCTTTACAGGGTCCAAGTTAACTGCGCAAGGTCGTCTACATCTGTCGTATATATATATGGGTACGTTTAGATGAATGGATACATCTGTAACTACTTGCAACAACAGGCGAACAACGCCTTACCCTCAGTGGGAGTATTCCTTCAGCATCTTACACAGTTTTTTTACAGGCATCATTGGCTCTCAACAAGTCCTGCTCCTTTCATACCTCTGCCGGTGAAGGAACTCCCCCATTGTGTGTTTTTAGAGAATCGAAGTACTACGTGGTAAATTTACAACCCAAAGTTATGTAGACCAGCTTTGTGGAAACCCTGTCGAAGGTGTTCGCCGCGGAAGTTGCGATGAACCCCTTCGATACTCAGCCCAACTTCTTACCTACCTCGCGTTTCCTCGTGCCCTGGAGTATCGGAATCCTGTAGGCTTTTATGCCTGGATTTCGGGTGTGAGTATAGATGAATTCCCTCGTAACGTTTCTAGGCAAATCAATATTCATATGTAAACCAGCATTATTTTGAAGTGTGCCCACGTGCTGTTGAAAAGGGCGAATCAAAAATCACTTCAACCGCTTTGGAGGGCCGAACATGACTTCCCATCAAATAGTGTTGCTTCAGTTCCCTTCACACTAAAAATCTCGTCACCATTGTTTTGCGGCATTCTGGACGGACTTAACGGATGCATGTGCTTCCATCTCTAGGAGGTAAGGGAAAACTTCAATAGGTGAGCATCTTACGGAACAACTCATTGAGCTGTACATTCCTCCTATTTTGGATTACTGTCTCTTGTATGGAGCTGACGATATTTCGCACATCACATGTCCTCCAACAATCACTGTTGATTCTTCATACTGGATCTACGGTTTTTCCAAAACGGCCAGCCAGCACTTCGCCTTGCACTAACCTTTCAGGATCTTGTGATCTTGATCTGCATGTGCCGCCCAGCCATAGCATACCATGCAAACAGTACCATACATTCATCAAGGGGGCGAAATGGCTCTTTGGTTAGAGTACGAATTTACTAACCGAAAGGTCGGGGTTCGAACCCGACCGCTGTCTCTCGATTTCCCTTGTCTAGGCTTGGGCAACCTGGCAGTATCCCAGCCCTCATGCCTTCTTTTGGTAGTATAGCGGTTAGCCACCGGAAGAGTGCTACAGCTGAACGATTTTTACGTTCTTCATGGGAACAACACACCAACGCACATACCCTTTTAGCCAGCGTTTATCTAACGAAAAGTGGCTCTGCACTACATTTGGCGCTACCCGTTGCTTCAAGAAGACTCTGACGCCATCCGCATAACTGGAGAAAGAATACGGCTCCTCGTGTCGAATAAAAGCGATTTTGTTTTGGGCATGGCACGTTTCCTGGCCCGTTAATGTCCACATACATTCCAAGATGGACAAAGTGGTTGGAGCGCGAATTTACTGACCGAAAGGTCCGTGGTTCGAACCCGACCTCTGCCACTCGACCTGACAGTACCCCAGCCCTCGTGCTTCCTTCGTGTGGCATGGCAGCTAGGCACCGAAAGGGTGCTACAGCTGAACGATTATCTTATTATTTATCTCACCGGAACAACCTTAGAAGGATACATATGTATATATGCATGTATGTATATATGTATGTATGTATGTATAAACAGGAAAGCGTCACCTACCGATATAGTTGGTAGCGGCACTAGGCCGGAGGCAAAGACATCAACAACGGAAGTTGAAATACTCATGAAAAGCAGAGTCAACCAAAACCAAGGTACTGCGGCACACCCATCCTTGGCTATTGTTCTTGTCCAAAACTATTCCTGTGTTGTCAAGTCAGGCGAGGTTGTGGTTCCCTCGGTCATGGTGATAAGGAGAGGTGGAGCCAAACGGAACTAAAACTTGGCATTTCACGGCGAAGCTCCCACTGGAAGACGGATTGTGTCCAGTTTGCTTTTTTCTCTGGGCTAAATTCAAATATCGGCAATTTTACGTCGTAGCTGCACGAAAACCTTAGGTAGAATTCGGGCCGCCCAGCCGTCTCTAATATTCAACACCCTTTCGCGCAAACGTTCACAGTCCCCCCCCTCCAGCATCTATTTCACGCTCGCAACACTCCAACAACAAAATTTAAACATTCTTTACTAACGCTACAAATATTCAAGGAAAGCATTGATGCTATGTAGGATAGGCGCAAGCCCATCAGCATTCCGATCTAACTTTTGTCTCTCGAATATTCCCTTTCTCAGATCGAAAACTTGGATTGTCTCAGCTTACTGATCTCCCTGGACTTAAGCTTCAATCGCATCAAACACATTACGAATCTCAGTTCCCTGGTCAATTTGAAAAAGTTGTTCTTGGTGAATAACCGCATCGGCAAGATCGAGAATCTAGACGGTCTCATCCAGCTGGACATGCTGGAGCTGGGATCGAATAAGATCCGGAGACTGGAAAATATCGATCACCTTGTCAATCTCAACCAGCTTTATTTGGGCAAGAACAAGATCACTGCGCTAGAAAATTTGGACACTCTGGTAAACCTGACTCTGCTGAGTATTCAGGTCAGTTTCTAGCTTTATCCTGATGTGTCCAGTTCAAGTGTGTCACAGGAATTCTCCTTCCAAAAAAGGATTTATAGCGGTTTTTTATTCCGGTGTCTTTTTAGCCTTTTTACAATAGAGATTTCATACTGCAAGTGAATTCAATGGATGCAGAAAGTCTTGAAACACTGTATAGCTGTATCATCCCTATTGAAATCAATCTACATTGCTCATCTCACGAATTTTCAAAGAGATTCGAACTCGTAACATTGAAAGCCAAACTTTACCATGTGTGGCTGATCAGCACCTTGATTAAATAATGATTGCTTAACAATTTCCTCCAGTTTTCAAATACTTTTGTTGGTAGTTCATCAGCTAACATTCAAGTTTCCTTTCGGGTCCTATCTTTGTTTACTAGGATGATATGGCGCATGAGCACAATATGTGAATGACGTCATCCGTTTAAAGTATCTTGCTGGTACGAATGTTCCGGGGGAGTCTTATTCTTTTCTAAGGGAAAACGTTCCTTATAGCGAAGATTCTCTTCCTTGGGGGTTTCCCCACCATCCATTCCAGTCAATAGCTTATCCAGCTTATCTCAACTGGTTTACAGCTTGGACTGATTACACCATATAGCCTGATTCAGTGCACAACTGCTCGGCCTCATCAAATCTAATCCTCTCTCAATGCGAACTAAATCCCTACTGCAGGGATCTCATGAGTACTTCGTAGGATCGAAGACACCCTGGTAACGAATGATTGGGTGCCTGGTTCAGACGACACAACTTACTAGTAACTCCGGATGAAGAATGTACCGCACTCGTACACAGTAATCTATAGTGATAGCGTTTACGCCAATGACCTGGTATAAAAAAACTTGGCCGTATAGTAGCGCCGGTAAACGCTTTTCTGTAAGCTAACGGTTGTTATTTATGGCCTATTGTGTCTTTAATTATAGGCTGGCTTGAAACACATCATTAGAGTGTGTTTTCTTCGCAGTCCAAAGTGTGTTATTAAATACATCTGTCTACTCCGTGACGAGATCACCCTGAAATAATACAATCACAGTAAAAGTGTAATATCTTATCGGAAAGCATATTGTCGGGTGGTGAGCAGGGAAGAGTGAAGTACGGATAGTTTGAGTGACTAAAGGTGAATTTATCTGTGAAATCGAACGAATTGGGTTCAAACACCGTTGGGTGCGCATAAACAGCTCAATTGCTACCTGCGCCGGGCCCATTAGATGTCCTCTTGCTCTAAAATACTATGAGCATTCGTCGTAGGCACCATTGGCCAAATATTGCAAGTCTGACTGACAATCGTTAGCTCAGATAGACAAGGTCACGCTGTGTGCATGGAACTTCGTTCGGAGGTTGTTTGAAGGTCTCGATACAGCTTTGTGGAGCTGGCTGACGAATTTTTAGAAGTCGTCGATGCTTTGCCTTGCTTAGACACCTAAGAGTATCATCGAGCGACCTGGTTAATGGGGTCTTCGTTGGAGCATTGAACGTCCGTAACTGCTCATATTCGGCATTTGTTTCCTCCTAGTGACTGGTACGATCATCGTTAGGATATATCTCTGTTAGATCACTGCTCATATCGGTGATATCGTCAGTGTTGTCAGGGCCCATTACCTGCATGGCAGGCACTACCTAACTTTCCTCCCAAGAATCGCTGAGGTTGTTCGCCATCGCCACGTGGACTTTGGGTGAAAGTCGTACACCGGAGTTCAAATAGAGAATCGTTGTCTCTTCTTCATTAACCCGGATGCATGCTTTGGGTTCGGTAGGTTACCTGGCACACCGTTGGATAAATTAAAGTCACTACTTACTGAGCCAACCAACTGCAGCACAAAATTCAACGAAGCAAGCGGTTACTTACTAGAACTTGTAGTAGTGTTTCAAAAAGCAGTGTGGTGTAAGCACATGGTCAATGCAGAAACTTCCTTATGTGATCTGCAATAGGATTCTGTCGCTTCTCTGAGGTAACGCAACAATAGTGTAGCAAATATTTCGGTTGCAATATCTATCAGACTAGCGCTCTCTTGTATCACTTCTCGGGTATCTGAAGCGAGACAGCTTAATGCTTAGAGCGCAGATTTTTTGACCAGAAGGTCCATGGTTCGAACCCGACCTCTGCCTCTTGACTTCCTCTGTCTAGGCTTGGGCAACCTGGCAGCATCCCTATCTTCGTGCTTCCTCCGGATGGCATGGTAGCTAGGCGCCGAAAGGGTGCTACAGCTGAACGATTCTTTTGATTTTTATCGGGAGCACCGTAAAGTTATCCCATTAAGTATACTCTGACATCTCATATTGAACAGACTAACTTGTGAGGAGGTCCGATTTCTGCGGGAAAACGGGCTTTATTGACTTCCGACGAGTTATGTCTTCATTTTTCGCTCTTTAGAAGTCTTACTATTTCTAATTGGACACTTGATCACATTGATTATTTTTCGATACAGAGGCTTTTCCTTTGGCGGTTTGTAGTGGGTGGTTGCAGGGGTGATTGAATAATTGGCCTAAGCGTTCGACCCACATTTTTTGTTTGTGCTCACAGCTCTTCATCAGTTGATCTTGGGCGTCGCGAATTTTAGTTTGCCTGCTTTGCTGTTTATCTGAAGGACAACGGGTCAACCAGAAAAGTTGCAAGTATTCGTTAACTTTTCAAGTTATCCCTATGCTAGGAACCACCTCTGTCCAATGAGGAAGACCGAGTGGCCTAGCGAAATAATCTATTGAAAAAGAAAGTGTTGATCGCACTTTCTCAGACAGATTTGAGCGGTGGATAGTCTTTTCAGAAATCCAGCCTCTGTGGCATTGTGATGTAAGTTCGAGTCCTGTGTGGTGGCCTGTTGACTGGACATCCTTAGATTGAGTCCGGACTCCTCGGCGGATATTAGCTGAACTCCAGAAGGCAGTGGAAACTTAGCAGTCAATTGATTGCCGATTTGGATACTCTTCTGGGCTTTCAAAGCGAGCAACACACTATGTGATTCGCAATTATTCTGGTTCAAGTTTAGGCCTATAGTCTTCAGCAGCCGATGCCCATGGAAGTACTACTAGAATAGTTTGTTATTAAAGCAGTGTGACCGCCTTTGGAATACTGGGTGACTAGAAACCTTTGGAAACCTTTGTTGGATATCACGAGTCGATTAAACGGAGTAAGGACAGTCTAGTTTTCATCCATTTCGAAACGTTTCCATGTGGATTTCCCAAGTGTGTGACAGGTGACGTCGTGTGAGGCAACCTTCAGGATACCGTCCAGTGCACGCGCACCGACGTTTCCTCGGATGATGGCGTAGCGTCTACCAGCCAGTTACCAAGCTCGCCGAACAGGTCAACAGTCAACTGATAAACAACCAATAGACACACCCAAGCTACCAATATTCTGATACACTGTCAGTATCCCGGAGACATTCGGTTCAATTTGAATTATTTTCGTGTCTTCCTGTGCGGTTTCATTTTCTTTACGAACGAATTTTCTGTGAGTGTTGGCATTATTTGCTGTTCATTCTTTCCACAATTTCAGGGCAATCGAATCACCAAAATCTGCGGTCTTGATCGCCTAGTCAACTTGGAACAGTTGTATCTGAGCGAAAACGGAATTCAACAAATTGAAGGTTTGGATAACCTACGCAAGCTACAAATCCTGGATCTCGCATATAACTTCATCAGTCAGATCGAGAACATTGGTCATCTGGACCAGTTGGAAGAGTTCTGGTTCAATGATAACAAAGTGTCCAGTTGGGATCAAATTGACAAACTGACCGCATTGGGAAACCTACGCACCTTGTACATGGAGCGTAATCCGATCTACTTCACCACGGCGGACCGATCGAAACAGGATCCAAACTATCGCCGAAAAATTATGCTCACTTTGCCAAATCTGCGACAACTTGATGCCAACTTGACTGGCGTTGGTCTGTGAAAAATGGAACCAGCATGAAGGACAGTTACTGCTACTACTTCTGGCATTCCACCTCTGTCAAACTAGGCCACACGAGGATACGTGACCTGGCAACTTCTCATTGTCACACTGCAGATGTACATAAACTCCCTGGCATCGTCTAGCTTGTAACTGCTTGCCCTTCTTCCCTTAACACGAGTTCAGCCGGAAATTAGTTCCCAATGTTATGGCTCTACACGTCATTTTATGGTGACATCGCTTTGGTCCCCACGGTCGCCCAGTTTTTTTCTGTTTTTCTGCTGCGCAATGCTCGGTAACGACTAGAATTATATCCGTGCGGTTTCTACCATTCAGCATAGAACGTTTACTCACCGAATGACCTGTCATTACTATCGTGGCAACGTTTACTCACCGAATGACCTGTCATTAATATCGTTAATTTATTCCGCTGGTCCACACACTGTCATTTTGGAGACAGTGTCAAAGCACACATGTATGGGCGAAATTGGAATCGCAGCAGCTTTCTGAGCGGTCGCGGAAAGATGTAGATTGTCGACAGTGCATTTAACTTCAAATGTCAACCCAGATATAATCTAGTCTGGATGGCAATTGGGTGAGGGAATGACTGCCTGAGCGTCTTGTTTCGATGAGGGCTCATCAGTAGGACGGAATATGATTGGCTGGAAGTCACTTCGGTTGCCTGCTGAAAGCAACACCACGTTGCTACCAGCCATATTTGGTTGGTATAGACTGGAAGAATTTCTTGGTTCTCTTTCTTCCGGGAATTTGTCAGGAAAGTAAAGTCATTCTTCACCGTAAAGCCGATAAACATTACATTGCTGAGTAGTGCGCATCTAATGAATCTCTAGGCTGCTTTGAACCCGGTAGCAGTCAGCGGGTTATCCCTAAGTGACCGGCATAGTGGGTGTAATGAGCGTCAAACCTTTCAGTCTTAGGTCTGAAGATGATAACCGTGGGGGTAAAATGCTCTCTGGCCCGATAAGTCCGAACCAATCCTGGCGTGGTCCGAATGGATGGTGGCTTGTCCACATCTGCCCCTCATAAGTTAATCCTATACTCGGAAAGAGTAGAACTTCGTTGGATTGAACTTCGTTTTATTCTGAGGACTGTGCAAACTTAATAGGGGCTGGATTGCCCCGGTAAGTTGAAGAGGATAGCGCGTGTGCCCACATGTCTTATGCTCAAGAACGCCGTACTTGCGTTTGAGAGGTTGCGAGCACATTTAGGTGCATCTGGACGGTCATATTGCACCAGTATGCGTTTGCAAGTCTAGGGTCTCAGACTATTCTAGACCAAACAAATAAGGAAGTCAGTAGTGATGCTGGTGTATCTAGAGCGGACTTGGCCCCCCTGCTGTGTTAATTATTCTCGTGAGTGTGGAAATCGTCGTTGGTACTTATAAGTAAGCTTATCCTTAGGGTACTCTTGTATAATTCTTTAAATTTCAGTTATATATGATAGTAGACATACAAACTAGCTATTTGCTAGTAGTGTGAGGAGTCACTTCTGATTGGTATTTCGTTCTGTAAATGGAAGCAATTCTGCGAAGAAGCGCTGTACAACCGTTTTATCCTTACTGGAAATCATTTGTAGTAGTACACATCTCACGAAACCCCGGTAGTGAGTTTCTACTCCGCAACCTTCTGGCTGATAGTTTGAACACTACCGTTCGGCAACGAGCGGCCGATCAGCAGTGTGATTAACTCGCACTTGAACAGCGTACAGTGCCACTCATCCTTTGATCACTGAAACCACATCGCGTGGCCACTTGTTGGCTAGCTCCTTGAGTGACTTCTCAGAAGCAAGTTTTGCGTATCTTGTGAATGTGTTCTTCTTCTGAGCCGTTTATAGATTGATTCAATCGGTAAACAGTAGTCCCTGCTTAGAAGAAAATACCTGTGGCACAAGAAATTTGTTTCATTCGACTAAATTGTTTATATANGGCGAACGGCCAAATCATTTATTAGGCCGAGAAGGCGAGGGTGACGTCTGCCAACCTCCGATATTTGTGGCACCGACATGGCATCAGTTTTTTGTCAAGGTTAGGATGTACACTGCATCCGTACCGGCATCTCTCTTACTTTATGCGTCAGGGAGGTGGCCACTGTATATGCATATCTTCGTTTTACCATCGATGCCTGCGATGCATCGCGTGGCTATGGTAGGAACATCGGGTAAGTCATGCTGAGATGCACTGGACGGTTTTCGGCAAAGAAAAATACTTATTCCTCGACAGATCAGCTGATCGCTTCATAGCTTATGCTGGCTAGGCCATCTAATTCATATACCAGAGGACCATGTTCCCTCTGCACCAGCCACGTATCGGAGGAAGATCACCCAGAATCGGTCACTCCATGACTTGGCAACGAGGTCGCATTGATACCTGCCGTCTTCCAGGATGAGAATCCCGGTGCGTGATAAATCATCGTTTAGTGACTCTGACACATATCGTCGTCTCACTTAGTCAGTGGTGATCCTCCATCGAATATGTTACCCTACTAGGCGTAAAGGAATCAGCTGAACCACTGTACCTTAGCATAGGGTTTATAACTGAATCTGCATTCACATCAATGTCGTTTGAACACTGCTGCTCCTGTCCTGATGGACCACTTTAAAGAGGGAAAGCGCTGAACTCTTGTGGAACCCATCCTCCGCCGTGCCGGGATTCGAACTCCGGATATCTGACATTCGAAGCCAGTGTGCTACCGGTGTAACGGCGGATACTACTGATGAGGCGTTAGAGTAGCATGTGGTTTTCTCGTAACTCCGCCTCGCGTCTGTTGGAAGGTGGTGTTTATTACGGAATTTCTGGGACTGCTTTGCAGCGTTCATTTACAATTGCATGATAGTCAATGAATATCCACGAAAGTTCAAGATGCACGAGGATGTTCAGGTGCATTTGAGATGTTTACTTTCCTATCCAATAGCTTAACTTTTCAGTTGGTGTTTACTAATAAACGAATTCACGGCGAAGATCTTCCCTCCTTACACCAGTACTCCGCCAGCACAAACCGGAAGCACATGAACTATCACGTTAGATCAAATGTACACACTTGAGCGATATGACAGGTTTTACCCAAAGCCTCAAAAAATTCAGTAACCGTCCCGGTTGTGTCGATCGGTTGACCCACCTTTCAGAACTTCCCAGTCAGATAGCGCCACAAACGCTTGAAGCCTGTTGGACTATCATATATTAATAGCTTCGTTCCTTTGCAACAAAAGCGCAACCTAACTAGATGCCTGACAGAGAGCAATGAAGATATGCTCGCCGGAGTGCCTAGAAGAGGAACTAAAGTTCTTGGGACGCACATTCCTGCAGAACGGATATCCTGAAAGGTTCGTACTCAAGACTATGGAAACCATTAAGCCCAAACCTGCACAATGTTCTGTTAGGAAGAAGCCCGTATACATGAGGCTTTCATTCAAAGGTGACTCGGTTGCTGAACTAATCGGCAGAAGGCTTAGAAACTCTTGATACGACATACTTGGCCGCTAATCTGTGTTTGAGCTTCAACTCCAGGTCCACTATCAAATTCCGCTTGAAGGACAAATTGCCATGTTCTGTCACCAGCTTTTGTTTACTCATTTTAATGCTCGTACCAAGCATCATATGTTGGTTGTACGATAAGGCATCTGTCGGACAGAATGTAAGAACACAGTCCCCTATCTCTGAGTGGTAGTAGGAAGAAACCAGGCTCAAGCGCGGTTGCATCACATTTGGCCGAAACATAGACAAGGAGCGAGCCTTCACCATCATATACCGGGTACCTCTGAACCGATCACGACTGGTACGATCCAGACTACTATCGATCGCAGCGGCGATTGGAATCCGACTGCTGGATCCACAATTTTGCACCCAAAAGAAACTTGTGCGACCTCGGAACTTGAACTGGCCTACGAAGCATCCGGTCCCACAAGTCTGTCTGACAATGACGTCACTTACCTGATTCCACGACCCATTGATCTATTACTCATCCAACCCATCCCCCCTTCCTTCGATTTCTATTTCTCTAAAATGTATGTACCCCCGATCTTAACCTTTCCACGTGATTTCTGCTACCATATAAACTTGTGATGTATTAGCCAAGAGAAACAATCACAGAAAACAAGATTTATTCGCTACCTTCTTCGTTCTCATGACTATCGTGGGTATATTCAGCCACATATATTAATTGTAGATGTGATTTGGAGGGCTCGCATACATGCTGTAATCGCGCCAGGGAAGGATGAGATTTCATACTTTCCAAATCTCGCAAACATATACAACTAACGAAATACACTCATCTGTACACCAATGTGGTTTTGACGTGAGATTCACCTCACCTGAATTTGCCGCAGTAGGTCGCCTCATGTTTCAGTTGGCACAATATCATGATACATTGTATCGGCGTAATACACTACTCCACGATCGGCTTTGCCCTTCTGGGGGCTCATCAGGTAGGCGCAGTCCCCGAGTTTCCGTCAACCTCATGTCCTGCTTGAACCCATATTGCATGAAATTAGCTGGGTTCCACGTGAGTCTCCCATCAAAACCAAGATGGTATTTCGGTAACTGATGGACATATTTGCCACCTTCCTGCTTACAGTAAATTCTCCCAGTTCCTCCCTGGCACCTCAAAATAACCAGCCACGCTACTATTCACGTTTCACAACAGTTTGGCTTCCGCAGCTCTGGTGAGATCATTTTCGACTGGTCATCGTAGAAACATTACTTACCATATAAAAGAGAGTTCGCCGTTCTGCTCGAACATGCTACATTTTCTGGTTTATTTCATTCACGGACGAACTTTGGAGAAGACAATCGGTAAGAGGTTTCATCAAAATTTCAACACTAGCGAAGTACGCTCACTTGTACATCAATTCGATTTTAACGCAAGACTCAACTGAATGATGTTCATATTCTTCAGTATAAAAGTGACGGAACCTCGGGGACTTAACCTACCTGATGAACCCCAAAAAAGGCAAAATGGGTCGTGGGCTGTCGTGGAGCTTTCAGAAAGCTTACAAATAGTTTATGAAAACTTTGACATTTACTCAACAAGCAATTTATATTTCACTCACTCAGATTCTCAAGAAGAATCACACAATAGACTTAAAAATGTTAAGTTCCGGTGAGAACAGTTGAAGATGGAAATGCCGAAATTCATTCGGCCATCAGAGACGAACTTGTTATAGTTTGTTCACTCTGACGATTTCATTCAGCACTTTCGTAGTTTCTACCAGTTGGTGTATGATGCTACTCCACTCGGAGATCTCATGCAAATCC